ACCCACTGTGATGTTTACATGCTGTCACAAATGACAAAGAGAACAATCCAATCCCCACATCTGAGCAGCAGAAAACCAGGGATTATTTGTTTTTTTTGCTTGAAAAACTGCAAAAGTTAATATGATCTGGCGGCTTGTTTGATCCAACCAAACCAATGAAATGACTGATTTACCATCAGGCTATATAATAAACTTAGATACCCTGTAAACTTTGGGGATTTGGTTTAAAGAACTTCTGAAATTCATTTATCAACAACTTATTTTGGGTGAATTGACAAATTGGTGCTCTACTGAAGACATACACACAATAAAGTGTTGTAAATAAGGTTTGTTAGTGAAGTAACTTGAACAAAATTTTGGACACTTTATTTTATCCTTTTATGGAACTGATTTGTGGCTATTAATTGACCCACATTCTTATTCCAGGCACCTGAACTACACAACATACTGTGCATGGCACATGTTTTGTACTTTGGACTTATAACCTGAATATACCACAGTTTCTACATGTCTCTTGTAAGTGTGTGATTATTTCTATCTTGCACTTCATTGCGGTGATCTGTCGCTTGCCTCTCATGATGGTGTTTTAAAAGCCTATTAATTGGTTAATCTCTCAGATCCCATTGAGACTCTCAATTAGTGCTTGATAGAAGAGGAGCAGCGCAGGTCACCAGTTAAGTGGACGTGTTGTAAATTGTGAGCCTTTGGCCTTCGTCTGTGATTTCCTTATACAGATTTTCACACATTGCCATGGAGAGATGTTGGCAATCAAGCACCTCACTTATCACGTCTATTAGTCTTGGATGTCTGGTTGAGATGTCAGTTACCTTTGCTTGTTTGTTTGATTTATACTTTGGCGATCCACAAATTTACATGATGTCTTGAAACCACATTAGACAAAGAAAAGCAACAGACTAAAGTGCGAGAGGTTTAAACCAGCAAATGCCTTTTTTTAATTTAAAATTATGATTTAATGGATGAACTAAGTAGTTGCTCATTGAATTTCAATTAATACAGTTATTGTAACAGTCTATGCTCTGTCTTACCTCAACACACTTTTGCATCTCAGGACTTTTGATAATTACTTTTTATTTTGTGACATTTTATAGATAAATCACTTAAATGTGAAAAAATAGTAACATTTATTGAGATTAGAAATATTTGTTAGTTCAATATTTATGCTAATTGTCAGTGGCATTTAAAAATGATTATTAGTTGCATCTTTATGGCACATTGACCATGAGTGATTTGAGTGCATTGCTCAGTGAAGGAATGGCAAAGATGACTTGTGGTTGGGATGGCAAACCGTTTATTTCTTTAAAGCTTCAGTCAGTCTCCTCCAGGTTTATCTGATAATATACACTATCATGACTTGTATTACAGCCTTTCAATGGCTATTACCCTTGTTTGCACAGAGCAGGCATATAGCATCTTATTGAATTCAGTCCCAGTATTGGATCCATATATCTAATAACTAAAGCCTCAAACATAATGCGTATATGAATTGATTGTGTTTGCTGAAAGGGCAGAAATTCAATTTCAGTTAAATTCAATTATATTTAGGTAGTGCCAAATCACAACACGCATTATCTCAAGACACTTTACATATTAAGGTCTAGACCTTACTATATTCTGGAGAAACCCAACAGTTCCCACAATGAGTAGGCATAATGGAAAAAACAGGAAGAAACCTCTGGCAGAACCAGACATCAGTGTGGGGGGGCATCTGCCTTGACTGGGTGAGGTGAGAGAAATGGGGGGGGGAATGCTCAGCACCTACCTACAACCTGAAGCTGAGATGAGAAGCACCGTATATGAAATATTCATTAAGTAATGTGATACATTACTTTAGCAGCTGAAGGCACACATCCATGGTTGCCATTAGTTCTAGCTGTCAATTGTTATCATCTGTTTTATATCTATTTTATATTTGACCTGTTTCGTCTTTCGTTTTAAAAAATGTGTACAGGACATTTAAAATTGTTGAAATGCACTTTTTTAATTGGAGCCTGGTAACATTCGGAACGTCTGCTGTTGTTAGCTGCTTATTAAACCCCACTCTTTAGGAAGGCTTTGGGAAGTCAGGAGAGGTCTCACAAAGAGCGAGTAAGTCGACTCATGTAGTGAAGAGGTTGAAGTTGTGAATGTGTTGGGCTCAGGACTTTCACACATGAGACTGAGGTTTTTGGTTTTGTGTGAGATCAGAAGATGATATTGTTAAATAGACTTAGTTGATTTATTATCTTCACTTTTTTTATGTATTCAGGTTTCAGTGGCAGTTTGATTAAGTTTAAGAGACAACTATTTGTTTCGGTATCTGAACAAACTACAGTTTGGGTTAGAACTAGAGCTGTTCCTATAAAGCATCAGATACCTCAGATACCGCTGAAATGCAGGTCAAAGGTGAGTAAGCAAATCTATGTACCAATCCAATACCACGTCTATTATATTTACTTTTTTTAATAGTATATCCGTTTCACCCAGATAAAATTGCTTATTTCTTTTCCTGAAAATCACTTCTTCTGGCAGTAGTGTAGTGTAATGTAGTGTAGTGTTAGCCACACCTTAAATGGCAATATGTATTGGGAGGGGAAAATGGTATCAGATCATTAATCCTGATAGACATTCTTAGATTTGTTTAGTTCACTCAATCGAGCCAAAAATCCAAACGACAGCGATATAAACCAGAGAAAATCAGTAAATCCTCTCTCTGGATAACTGTAGAGAGGGGATGACAGGTTTTTTTCCTTGATGAAAGACCTAAAGGATTCATCAACTCTTGCTGATTAATTCTCTGTTAGATCGTTTCATTTAATTCCCAATATGAATTGTGCCCCAAGTGATTGGGTCATGAGATCGTCTGTATTGATAAGCGGCTGTCAAAATAAAAGAGGCGCTCAAGTAAGAACCTTGATCAGTTATTTGACAGCTCGAGAGTGGCAGTTAATTAAATATGTAAAGGCCTCTTTGTTTTGGGTTTGACTAAGTAGCAGAGGGAGTGTTTAATCATGTTTGCTGACTAGCTGCCATTCTCTTCTACCGTACAAGCAATTGATACACACCGGATCACTGATAGATGTTACTTAAGTTAAACTGATGATCACTTTGATGAAATTGACCGATGTAGCTGCGGCAATTGAATGTATAGAGATAACAATATGTTTGGATTAATCTTCGTAACTGGGTTTCCTATTCTGAAACCTAAACTCAACAAATCTGTCACAACTCCAAGCAGGTACTATCATTCTTTTTTTCTCAAGATAATATCTTAGACCATAGAGTCTGAGATATTATACAGAGTCAGAGCTGTTCAGTGTTTTTGTCAACTTTTCATACTATTAAGAAATTAATTGATTATTAATTTATGTTGAAATAATAGTTTTATCCCAACTGCAATCACCTGAGTGTAAAATAGTTGGTACATATAATATGAACAATGTCTCATTGTGTAATTTGGAGCCAAAGTGATAAGTGAATAAATTGATTAGATGCTTGACAGGAAAGCAAAAATACCAAATGTTTTGCTGCAGGTTCTGAAATGTGACATTTAGCTGCTTTTCTTTGTGAATGTGTTCCCTTTGGAGTGACATTTGAAGATGTCCCCTTAGACTCTGGGAAATCATATTTGTTTAACATTTTCATTGAATTGAAAAAAAACCTTCTTAGCAGAATAATCAGTAATGAAAACATTGTCTCGGCCTGACTGACCTTTTAGCCTGCAACCTTTTCATATTACAACAGTACATGCAATGGTTTTCTGGTGGTTCATGATTGAAACGGTTGACAGTGTGAGTGCGATTTTGCAGATTAATATCATTTTGTTTAAAACACCATCTCGACAAAACTGTCTTGAACAGGTGGATGTCTTGTTTTCGGTTTCATCTACTTTTGCTCATGAAAGCTGAAATCGGTGCTAACCGAACAACTCAGTGGCTGTGGGAGCACAGGGTCAGTTGAGGGTTGATTGAGCGCCCGCAGTGTTTTGGCTGTCAGTTTGATGGCAGAGGAAGAGGCAGAGGACAAGAAAAGAACAGGCAGCACAAAGAGCCGTGGGTGAGGAACAGTCTGAAAGCTGAGGTCAACAGAGGGAACAGTGTGTCTCAATCGTTCCTCTGCAGGTACAGACCGTGCTGCAGCATCTGATAAAGACAGACATCTTGCATTGTGTGGTTTCGCTGCTCAGCTGTGATGGAAGTTGCAAGGTGCTGTCTGGAGGCTGACAATGTCGTTTGATCGGAGCGAATACAGGTATTTCAGTCATGTGATCTGAGCAGCCCTCCCCTCCCCTCCTGCACTACAAGATGTGGGGTGTCTGACCCAAATCTGCAAAGTGCAAAAGGGAAACCAGAGAGAAGAACCAAGGGGGAGGGGATGTTGAGGCAAGGCTCTGATGTTGGAAAATTAGCATGTCAGTTGGTAACCGTCAGATAAAGAAAATCATTAGTGGGAGGTTGGAGGAGAGCGGCAGTCAGCAGCACAGTGAAATGAGGATTGTGTAGGAAATAGAGAAAAAAGATCATGAATCGAAGAAGGGAAGGTGGCGGATAAACACGAAGGGCTGTTATTGCATGAACCAAATGAAGGAAGAAGAACAAGCGCGTTGGCGAGCGACTGATTGTACGTCGGCGTGCCCGGGCGGAGCGTCTGCCTCCTCACATCTCTGTTCTCTTAAATTCCTTTTGAAATCAGCACGCTAAATTTAGCTCCCAGCACCCCTCCCCCCTCCTTTTGAGAGGTATCAGAGCTACAGCAGTCAGTGATAGGCTAACATTTTGATGTGCACAGTCTTCACACACACACACACACACACACACACACACACACACACACACACACACACACACAGAGAGAGACACATCCAGACACACAGAGATTAGAGTGAGTGTCTATGAGTGGGAGGGCACTATGTCTTAGTGCACACAGTGTGGGCTGCAGTGATGATAAATTGTTGCTGTGCAGCAAATGAGCTTTGGGTAACTGTCTTTTTATGTGTGTGTCTTCCTCCTCTCTCTCTCAGGAGCTGCCACTTGAGGACAGCGGGGGCTCTCTGATGATCCCCACGTTCATCCGATGAACCCCCTCAACTCCATGAAACCCTCCCTGCCTCCCACTCCACAAAGGTACACACACACACACACACACACACACACACACACACACACACACACACACACACACACAGTGGTGACATTAAACTCGGTGTCCTCAGGTGAACCATGTGACACCTCACCTGCCTTGCCCAGTGTTGTATCTGTTATGGTTTTGTTGTTAGGCCCAGGGGCGTGTTCGCTGAAACAAGATCAACTTATTCCAGCTCTGTCTCTGTGTCACTGAACTTAAGCAGGAATTCAGGCCGGTGGTTGCGTTGGTGTGTGGCCTGTAGCTGAAGGTATTGGTGAGACATGAAATAGGATCCAGGAAACCAGTTCAGGTGACAGATTATGTGGTTAGAGCCTTATGAGAGGCCAAAACACTGCACAATGAAATGAAATCTGTAACTCAGGAAGGTGGCAACTATTTCACCTTTTTTCCAATGATTGTCAGTTTAACAGTAGAAATGCAGTGTTTGCGTCACAAAGTAAATTGCCAGTAAATTGTCAGTACAGCTACTGAATGTGGTGCTGGATCACAGGTCATGAAGTTGGTCATCAACTGGTCAGTTAACTTATAGTTGTCTTATCAAGTTGTTTGCACACAAATGTGTTCGAAACGTCTTCACCTGTGTTTTCTGGTTGTCTCCATAGCAACCTCTTCACACAATGAAATGCCCGAACAACTGTAAAAGTGGTTAAATCTCCTTTTTATTCAGTCATATTTCGGTTAATGTTGCTGCAGTATTTCCTCTCAGTGAAGCCAGTCTTTTTAGGATTGTGAAATTCAATGATTAGAGAGCCCTGTCAATTTCCTGAAATTCTGTGGCACTGGTACTTCCAGTCTCCATCATCAAAATTGAAACGGCCATGAGAAGTTATCTGTTGTAAAGCAACGCCACCTCTGCAGGATTCTCCTTCGATGTGTTTGATTATGCTCGAGCGAACACCCAGTTTAAGTCCTCGAGCACAGAGAGAAATGTTTGAGTTAAAGCTACAAATACAGGTTAATGACCACTGCTGTGTGATCTGCTGTATTGACATTTGAAATGAGTCATCACAGAGAAAGTTAGAGATGACAGAGCACAGCTGCTACTCAGCCCCCTGCTGTGACTGACAGCTACAGAGCCAGCTGCTTTCACATATGCACCGAACTCCGGAGATCTTCTGGAAGAGGTGCATGTGTCTGAGCAAATGCCCGACAAGTGACAAATGTCAGAGTGAGACCCTCCAGAGGACTTTCTGTGCCTGACTTAAAGTCTGCAGAAACCCCGGAGGAGTGAGAACACAGCGAGAGATCCACCTCAGGATGCACTGTAGTGTTGATGTCATTTCTAACACAAGACAGATGTATATAAATGCAAAAACCAAAAAGAAAAGAAATATCTCTTGATGAAAAAGCAGAGCCATGCACGAAGACACACACTGACGGAAACTTCAAGAGAGGTTGTAGGCGAACAGGGCCGACCTTGGTGTGATGTAAACAAACACATGTGATTCCAGCAGCAGAATAAATACGTTATACATGCCTCTGCCTGCTGCACCACTTCTCACCTGAACACAGTGGAGGATTTGTTGCTGTTGTGAATGCTAAGAATATCCTGCTGTGTTCATATGTTAAAGGAAACCTCTGAAATCGGCGTTAGTCTGCGCTGCAGTCTACTGCTGTCTGTGGCCTCTTCTATACCATTTCTTGTTTCTGTTGGCTGACCAGGGAATGAAAAAGGGATTTAGTTGTGACTCATGAACACTGTGCTCACCAGCAGCCTTCCATGAGGTTCTGATAAATTCCTGATTTTATTATTGTGACAAAGTCAACATAAGATGCAGGTAAATGACGGCAGCATGTAATCAGATAGATAATCATTGACTGGTTAGTGCACATCATGCGCACATCGGCTATTTTTCACTTTCAGCTTCACACACAGCCTCTTACCATATAGACACTGGTGATCTATCTGATATCATTACAGCCTGTAGAGAGATGTGATTAACAGCTTATAGATATTTGGATTTCTGCTGAGGTAATGATATTGAGAAAATTATTTGCCTAACTTCACCTATATTGTTATACTATAACAGTGTGCACTGTCTGTCACTATTAGTTGGTGTGTTTGGCTTTCTGCCTTTCTTTGAATATAGGATTTTACATTTTATATTATATCCTTTGACATTCATTCATTCATTAAGCCTTTGAAATAACACACATCTGTTTGCACATTGACTTCAGCAGACTGTTTTTATGTGCTTACAATTGAAAGATGCAGTTAATTTGATGCAGGTCTTGCTGCCCTCAGAATGATTTATAAATAATTAAAAGATCAAAGATGAATACATTCCCTCAAACTGGACCAGCCAGTCACATCCGTTCTTACACACTGTTAAGACAAATCAGCTGTCAAGTGTTTTTTTTTTGTTTTGTTTCATTTTGGAAGCATCTTCATTTTTAGCTTTTATTGAGCCAGAACAGCCTTTAATTGAGTGCAGCCACAAAGACTGGCAGTCTCTCTCTCTCTCTCTCTCTCTCTGGTAAGCTATGGAAGCAAGAAATGTGTCTCTAACCCACTGACATGACGAAGAAATGAAGAAAGAAAACAAGCCAGGAGTTATGCTAATGTGTATTTGAATTGACGTCAACCTAAGCCTGTGATTCTGAAAATATTTTTTTAAATATTAAAATGGACAGTAATGGTAAGAAAGATTTCAGCTTCAGTCACCCAGCAAATAATGTGGTATGACAGTACTGCTATTAGGGTTGTTTCCTGTTGAGGAAATGGTTCGTAACCTCAACTGTCGTATGAAGAAACCACACTCAGGTTAATCTTTAACTCAGCAAAGTAAATGATGAATTGACCACATACAGAACACTGTCTCTGCTCCACAGCTCTGTCAAACAGAAATGGATAATAACATGTTGTGATACTCCTGATATTGAACCGTTATATCTGATATGTGAATGAACGCTCTCTCCTCAACAATCCCCTCTAACTCAGCTTTGTATCCTTCTGCGGCAGTGACGGCCCCTTCCTAAATGACCCAGTCTCCTGGCAACCAGGCACCAATCAGCACGCAGGAGCTCTCTCTGTAGTAACCACAGTGTGGGGCGTGACCAATCCCACACACAGCCAGGTAACACATGACTCTGGGACATTTTGTTTCGTGAGCTGTAACTACACAAAACCAGAAACAACAGAAGCTGATAAAAAAAAAAAAAAAACCTTCTGTTAATTTCTGAGCAGGAAATCAAGGTCCATCATTTTGAACTTGAAATCTAAAAACACAGCTGTGGCTCTTTTGATCACATTTCTGTTGACTATGATTGATATTTTTATAATTTAGTTGTTATTGTTCCTATGTTGATCTGGTAGTCACATTAGTCACCGTGTCTGATGGACTTCTGTATGTCGAGGCCAATTTGTACTTGCTTAATCAAGCCTGTAGCTACTGTATTGTCCACTGACACACACCTCCTCTGAAATGTATCTGCACATCATGACAACACAGTACCAAATAACTGTGATTGGTCTGCTTGTTATCAAGTCTGGTCCATATCTCTCATTGGTCACACGTGCACTCAAATCTCACCCTCCTCATGCCGGAATCAGTTACAAATCATCTCCATCGATGTCTTCTCCTTTCTAATTTCAGTAAAAGTAACTGTTCTACCATGGTTCTGGGCCATGATAGCACCTAACTTATTATGGCACCAATTCACATTTAATATTACTTAATTATAATATAATATACAGGACAGGATGATTCATTCACTTTATTTCTATTTTCACTTTCAGGTGAATGTGACTGTTAAGTGTGTTTCTCTGTGATTTCACTTGCTTTCACCACCCCTAACCCCCTCCCCTCCTCGTTACTTTGTATTAAGGTATTCGGTGCACCCATGGGTCCAGGTGAAAGCTCAGGCAGTCACATGATGCCTGGTGGCAGCCCTGGTATGGGCCCTGGTATGGGCCCTGGCATGGCCTCCCAGTTTATGGGACAACAGTCATATGGAGACGCTGTCTCTAAAGGCTACGGTCATCCACTCATGTACGGACGCCCCAATGCCGCCTACAACCCACCCTCAGCCTATGGTGGAAGGTACGCTTTGATGATCTTCTGTTTGCTAAATGTCAGGTTCACTGAGAAGAAATTCAACAAGGATTTGCTCTTAAAATAGAACTGTAAATCAAATTGCTTATATTTTTGGAAAGTAGAGGAAGCTTCAGATACATGTCCTTTGCAAACCAGCAAAAATGGTATTTAAACTTATCTTATGGATGTCCAGACGTCAGGACAGTATGTGTGTTGTGATTAGATGTAAATTAAAGGTGAAGGTCACTATGTTAACATACACAGAGTGTAATATAATAGTCTTTCACGGCCTTTAAACTGTTTGTTTGATTGAGCTGAGCCTCCGACAACCACAGCTGAAAATATCACAGCCTCAGCAAGTTCTGCTATTCAAGAAAAGAAATAGAAAATATGTTTACACTCAACACTGATGGAGGATCAGTACATCTACAGGGACAACCTGCATATGCTTCACACGCATCAAATCAACTGAAAAGTTCATAACAAGCTCCTGCAACAGAGACTAGTTAACCATGTCACAATTAATTACAACTTCTCACTTGTCTCCTTCAGTGATTTGTGGAAACAAAGACTCATTTTTCAGAGAGTCTCTCTGTGAAAACTCTGCCAAAGTTGCAACTGTAACAGTGATAACAGCCAGGTGAGAGACGTGTGTTCCCTAAAACACAGTTAAAAGACCCAGACTATAAGGGTTCTGGTTAAAAAAAAATAAAAGAAGCTCTGGTGTGTCTGATTAAAGGTTCCTCTACTTTCAAAACTGCTCATGCCACACACACACACACACACACACACACACACACACACACACACACACACACACACACACACACATTAAATGATCTTGTATGTTTTTACGCAGCACTGTGCTGTTTGTTACGTGCTGTTATCACGCTGTGGGATTTTGCATTAACATATGTCAACGTGGCTGCTCTTCACCCACTGCTCTGACTCATGTTCTGACGACACCTCTCACGCTCGTACGGTCGGTACTCTAAGCTCACTGCCCACTCATCTCCCCCGTCTTCCCCTCTACCCTGCAGTTACTCTGGTAACAGTGGAGGTGCCGGTCTGGGTGTGCGTCCTCCCTCAGACTTCACTCAGGCTGCTGCTGCCGCTGTTGCTGCCGCCGCCGCCACAGCTACTGCCACTGCCACAGCAACTGTTGCAGCAATACAGGAAAAACAGAACCAGGAGCTGAGCTATGGACAGGTAAACATGTCTGAAAAGAATAAAAGCAGGGAAGGGAGGGAAGACACACTTTTTTTAATTGAATTCAGGCTGAGTAAAGGAGGTAAGGGAGAAACTGGGAAAGCTGCACACCCCTAAATATAAGCTAAGAATTATTTTTGCTCTTTATTAATTTGACCCTAAATATTAATAATTTGGACATTGTATTGTGTGATTTTCTTTTGTTCTCTAGAAATGATTGAGCCCTATTTCTGTCTTGCTCAAGTTAATTTGCCTGATTTGAACCAGACTAAATATGATGACTGCCACATCACCATATTTTGCAGAAGGAATTTTTGAATCACTACAATACAGGAGTTGAAGTAATATTTTTTGTCTGAGTTTTGAATGTGCAGGTTTCCCTGTTAAATCTCTAGGTCTGTCCCAAAGCCTGGGCTCTGCAGAAGGCATCGGTGTTGCTCAACCAGTCCAGACTCATTTCATTTGTCTGTCTTGAATAGATCTGATGATGCAGCCTGTCAGTTTTCCAGCAGAATAAGTTGTTTAAAAACCTTTTTCGTTGGTGCTAGTTTTGTTGTTAGTTTAACATCATGAGGCCAGTGCTGCAGTGCAGGATGTCTTGAGTTTATTTCCCAGGGTTGAGTTTCAGTAAACCTTGACCCTTGAATATGCCAAATTCCAAAGAATAAATGTGATCTGATGAGTTATTGAAAATAGACACAGCCTGTCCCAATACATACACACAACATGAAGTGGTTTATGACATGATTGAATCAGTTTTTATGTTTACATCAAACTAAATTTAGCTTGGTTGATGGTTAAGAAATCTGGTCAGTTTAAAAATGAATCAATATAGTATTGTATTTATTTAATCAGATGGTGCTGATAATAATGCTACTCTTCTACTGTTATTATAAATAAGCTTCAAATATGTTCACACAGACTTTTTGCAGATCCTCTGTAGAGTATCACTGTCTCCTTTGAGTTTCTGTCACAAACACTGAAAGGAGAAATGTCTGAGCTGCTCTTCACGCATACCTCACTATACTGAAAGCATAGTCTCACTCTTCCCCTCTTTTCCACCCACCTCTCCTCTCACCTCGACTGGTCTATGCAGATGGCGGCCCACTCTGAGTCTGGTTCTGCTAGAGGTTTCATCCAGTTAATGAAATAATTTTTTTCTCCCCATAGTCGCCAAAGTGCTTGCTCGTTGAGCGAACTGTTGGGCGTATCTGTAAAGATCTCAACCTTACGCATTGAGATAATGTATATCGTGATTTAGCACTTAACAAATATAACATTTTATTGTAATTGAATAATGAGATGCGATCTTTCATTAACAGAGGAATCACTGGAAGTCACACATGAACTTTTAGCCTAGTTGTACAAAACCTCTCCATTTTACTGATTTCAGGAAAAACGACATCTGTGACACTGTCCCTGGTTTAGAGTTGTGATGTTTGGTCCCAACAGCTGCAAATCAGAAGCTGCTCCTCTGCTGCTAACACACACTCAGGACACATGTCTCTTATTAACTACAGAGACATAATTTGACACTGCTCTTCCATGCCAGACTATTTACTCTACAGACTTCTTATTTACATAATGAGAGTCACTGTAGAAGCTTAGCAAACAGTCTTCATCTCTGTTGGTTCTTGTGAAAGTTCTCAAATGAAAAGTAGATACAGGAATGTACATGCATGGTTTTTTTTTTGCAGTTAATTATGCAAATGTAATGCAATTCTGCAGCCTCCTTGGAATAAACCAACTCTAAAGTAGATGTAAACACCTGTTCTTGCAGTCTAGTGATTTTACTTATTTTACTCGTTGCACTTGGTCTGTGGTGCCAATACCAAGAGAGCTTTGTTTTTACTCTTCCATCCCTCACCTGGTCTCTTGCTTTCCTTATCCCTTCCAGATGAGTGGAGCATCAACTTACAGCACCCAGTTCCTGTCACATTCGGGCCCCCGCGGCCCTCCAGTGATGAACCCTGGTGGGATGGTCCCTTCCAGGGCCGGACTTCCACCCTCCGCTGGGGGCTTATATGCCTCTCACGCTGCACAGACACAGAAGATGGCCCAGCATGTGGGCTATCCCGGTGGACAGCAAGGGCTCAAACGGCCTTACCATTCAGAGGTAAGTGAGGAATGTTGACTTAAGGATTGACTCATGTTTGCTCACACTTCAGTTCAGTTCAAAATTCAGTTTTACCAGTTGATGACTGATTATTCTCTCCGCATGTGTCTGGTTGCCAAGAACAAAACCACTGGTTATGTTTATGAAATTGAAGATATACAATTAGTTTCCACTTTGTTAGACAGATACCAGTCCTGCAATAAATCCTTAGTTTTATCTATATGTATCTAATACATAGACAACTGAGTCTATATTATTTAAGATTATCAAATTCACAAAACAATTCTTACTTTATTTTAGCCCATTACTTCCTGATTTTACTTAAGTCAGTAAGTAATGATTTCTTTGTAGCTACAAGTATCATGCAGGTAATTAAATAGGTAGAAGATACGGTTAAAGCTAAAAACATAGTAAGTAAATGTAAATTTAACATATTTGACTTTTAGACTGGTAATGGGAGAAAATGTTTTGAAAACGTCACTTGCATTTTAAGAAACTGGTGGTCATTTCAGTTTTCACCATTTTATAACATGGAACAAATTATCATTGATGATAATAAAGCCTAGAGTGGCACTCTGTCTGCTGGGAATCTCTACTGAAGCTGCGTGTAAAACAAATTCAGGCTAGTGTTTCCTGTTTTTCTGAATGAATAAATGATCCTGTCTGACTACAAAACTGAAGCAATGCTCACCCCGTAAATAGTTTGTGATAACTCTGTGACTCACGACATTTTGTGGCTGAATGTTGGCTTGACCGGTTGAATAGTAGGATGATGTACCGTACCTTCAAAGTGTTATAGAGAAAGAAAATGTCAGCCACCACAGAGTATTTTGTAGAATTGTGACACAGCTATGATGAGAACATTTGTCTGCAGTGACATTTCCTCAGAGAATTCTTCCCTCAACTGAGCTTGTGTCTATATATTTTATTCAGGGTTTTCCAGCACAGCAGTACGTCTCTAGTGGGATGTCGGGGTACCCCAACCAACCTCTGCAGTACCCACAGCAGAGATGTGCCCCCTCACCCTCTTACCCTTCCAGCCGGATGCCTTTAATGGGACAATACTCTTCTGGATCACACAACCCAGCACAGTTTCCTCCTGGAGCAGTTCAGCCCAATCCTCCACAGTATTATAAAGTAATCACTTCCAACCAGTTATACACATTCAATGCTGATATCATTGTTGATACCAACATAAGCAATGCTTATTCTGAGGATCTCTTAATGTTTTTAAAGGGTAGGACAAAAACAAATGTCACAAGGAGCCACAAAATAGAGTTTGTATTGCAAACAGAAATCAAGATATAGTGTAAGTTGACACAGAATGGCTCGCAAAGAGCAGGGACCATGCTCCTGACTCTGGTTGTCCAGAATGCAGAAATGATTTTGATGAGTTTGTACTTTGAGACTAATCTTTCTATATAACCTCAATCATATATTTGGCATTCAATTCTGCACAGACATCTCTCTCTGTTATACCTTTGACCCCACAGTCAAAAAAACACTTCAATAATAACTTTGAACAACCCGAGATGACAATTCTATTATTTATCACATGCAACTTTAAAGAAAATAGTCCCATTTTAAATTATGTTCTTGTGTATTCATTTAGTGAGTTTAGGTAATGTGTAGTTTAGTTATGTCCTTTCCTACAACTACCCTTAACTTGTTTTCCTTCTTAGACCTGAAATAAGTCATATAAGAGATTAGTCGATAAATCTAATGACAAATTCTTTTATATTTTCTGAATTTTTCTTGACCAACCAATAGGCATGTTTATCATTAATAATCAGACTGCAGCCTTTTCTCTTTTAATTTGATGAGGTTCGATCAAAACAAGGAAAAAAACAGAGTCCTCAAAAGTTTCTGCTGAAAGTTTTTAAAGATTTATGGCTACACAGATCTAATATCTGGACCACTGTGAACTATCCCAGGTCCAGATAAACAGATCATTAACTGAGTGTCTTGTTTCCTGTCTTGTGTTCTCTAGTCAGAGCCTTTCAATGGTCAGGGCAGCCTGCCAACAGGAGGAGCAGGGGGATACAATGCCTTCACACAGGCTGCAGTGAACGGGGTAAGACATTTATGTACTCACCACAGCCCCTTTTACTAAAGACTAAGTCCAGTTAAGACCACAAAGAAATACACTGCCGAGGATATGTTGTCTAAACGCTTCCTCATCTTCGTTTCTCAGCCAGGTCGGGCTGGAGTGATTCCCGGGTATCCCAGCTCACCGATGGGAGGGAACCCCACCCCCCCAATGACACCTGGCACCACCATACCCCCCTACCTATCCCCGGGCCAGGACACAAAACCACCCTACCTTCCACCAGACACCAAACCCAACATCAGCACCCTGCAGCCCTCTACAGGTGAGACCTATCAATTGAAATAAGCTAATTCTAAAGTAAAAGGGTAGTTAACACTGCTCTGTCCCATTCAAGGTAACCCCAGTGACGACCTGCGGCTGACTTTCCCGGTACGAGATGGTATCGTGTTAGAGCCGTTCAGACTGGAGCACAACCTGGCAGTCAGTAACCACGCCTTCCAGCTCAGAGACTCCGTCTACAAAACACTCATGTTGAGGTGAGACATCTGACATGACAATCATACACACTGAGCTGGTGTGTGTATTATTAATAATAGTAAAAGTAATAAAATGACAACAGGTTCCTCTTAAAGTCATTGCTTTTGATCATGTGTGTAGGAATCCTTGTTTCTGTTTTTGTATATCATGGTTTTTTAACACCAAGAGATGATCCTGGCAGATTTTTCTCTAAACAAAGCAAGTGTGTATTTGATGTCCAATTTCTTTTCCTTCTCATACTGTAAGTGGTATACAATGAGAGGACACAGAGGAATACAACAATAACAACAATTATTCAAGAACAATGATTGAATTCTGTTTTGTTAGATTACATGTTACATTTTAAGCTCTGGTCTAGAATGATTTGGTTGAATAAATGTGACATACATTGATTAATAATAGTAGAGATTTTTAGAAATATTGAAACTATTGTTTTTATTTTATTACAAAGGGTAGAGGGAGAGTGAGCTGCCGTGTAGTGAGGAGCAGAGAGCTGTGACCCTCTGTTACACAATGTGTATTCAGAGCAGTGCATCGCTCTTGTTCCTCCTCCTGAGTCATTTAAAATACCACATGAGGAAAAGCAGATGAGGAATGTCAGATAACCCCACCCAGTCTCTCCCTGATTAGTTGTGTTATATCTCCCCCTGCAGACCTGACCTGGAGCTGCAGTTTAAGTGCTACCACCACGAGGACAGACAAATGAACACTAACTGGCCTGCCTCTGTGCAAGTGAGCATCCTCACCTTTTCTTTGGTTGGTACTATGTGTGTGTTTGTGAGTACACCATTTTTTAAAAGGTGTACACTGTCATTTTAGTCTCTTTAGGGGTTTCTAGATGAACCTTTACTCTAATTCTGTCCTTTATTTCCTCTCCATCAGGTAAGTGTCAATGCGACCCCTTTGTCTATTGAGAGAGGGGACAACAAAACCTCCCACAAGCCTCTGTACCTAAAGCAAGTGTGTCAGCCCGGACGTAACACAGTACAGATCACAGTAACCGCATGCTGTTGTGTAAGTAGCCTTGGAATGAAACCTGCTGATTGTATGTCTCACATTAAACTGAGCAATAGCCCTTTCAACCCCCCCCCACCATCTCCCCCCAGTCCCACCTGTTTGTGTTACAGCTGGTCCACCGGCCGTCTGTCAGGTCTGTCCTGCAGGGTTTGATGAAAAAGAGACTGCTGCCGGCTGAGCACTGCATCACAAAGAGTGAGTCCAGATCCAACAGTAGCCAACACCTCTTTATTTACACCACTGATGTGATATCGAAAAGGTCTTAGCCAAGAACTTCCTCTGAAGTAAGGACTTGCTCCGAGTTGATCCGAGCAACAGATTCACAACCCAGACCAGCAATTAGACACATCCCCTGATACAATAAGTCAGGAACTCAGAGAATATATTTTAGTTTTATTATATATATTTTTTTTTTCTTAAAATCATCATACTTTAACCATCCAATGACCTAGGTCCTCTGTCTGACACACACTCACAGCCACAGTCGCCCTTTTTCACAGTAAATAGACGTCTTACATTATGATCCTCCTTTGATGGTGGTGCCAGTACAAATAAGGGAGTCAAACTGATAAAGATATTTTAAACTGAGGAATCTTTTCATATATTATTATTTGCTCTGTTATATTCAGTTTCCATCCACTGGTGATGGAATTTATGTTTAGCTTTATACTTAATGCAAAGTACACTGGACACTGCTTCCTTAACAATGAGTTACTGTACCTTTTTTGTCCCTTACAAATTCAATTCAATTAGATTTTATTTGTATATCACCAAATCATAATATACATTATCTCAAGGCACTTGACACAGTAAGATTGAGACCTTAAAAATTCAAAGAATAAATGAAAAAAATCTAAATTGAACAGAAATCTGATCAATATAATTTCAGTATTGACCCAGATGAAAATGAAATGCCTTGCCACAAAGCCGTGTTGTAGATCCGTGATGTGTTCCCTTCTTTTTGTTTCAGTCAAGAGAAATTTCAGCAGTGGCACTATCCCCGGGACCCCCGGTCTGAACGGTGAAGACGGTGTGGAGCAGACGGCAATCAAAGTTTCTCTGAAATGCCCGATCACGTTCAGACGAATCCAGCTGCCGGCCAGAGGTCATGACTGCAGACACATACAGGTGAGGTCTCACACACACACACGCACGCACGCACACACACACAACTAAACATTCATATCTGTTGTCTAATGTGGAAATGTCTCTTTCATAGTGTTTTGACCTGGAGTCCTATTTGCAACTTAATTGTGAAAGAGGGACCTGGAGATGTCCTGTGTGCAAGTATGTACTTTAACAAGGAGTTATTGCACTTTCTAGACTCAGATCCACTCCTCTCAGTGAACACACTTTTTTCTTCTCATCTGCAGTAAAACAGCTCTGCTTGAGGGGCTGGAGGTCGACCAGTACATGCTTGGTATTCTTGTCTATATCCAGAAGTAAGAGTTTATGTGAAATTCACAAGTGTTTGTGTTTTTTTATCTTTTGGATATTTGATGTCCAGTGGCATTTTAATATACTTAGAAAACCCATTTGTCTCTTCTGTCCTCAGCTCTGACTATGAGGAGATCACTATAGACCCAGTGTGTGGGTGGAGACCAGTGCCCGTCAAACCAGACCTGCACATAAAGGAGGAGCCTGATGGTCCAGTGCTGAAACGCTGCCGCACAGTCAGCCCGAGCCACATGGTGTTGCCCAACGTCATGGAAATGATCGCAGCTCTGGGCCCTGCGTCCTCTCCATACCATAGTCTGACAGCAGGAGGCAGGAACACCCCCGACTACAACAGGCCAGGTTAGGTTCAATCTGAGGAGGGAAGCTAAAAGGGTCAATGAGTTAATGGTGGTGTTTATTTTTTTATTTTTTATGAATACCTACATTTAATCTATGAATCCTGCTGATTAAGGACATCAGTATTATCTCCACTTATCAGTTTTAGTTAAACAAAGATTCAGGAAATATTTACGAGTTATTGTGATACACAAATAAGAACCTTGTTAAAGGAATTCACATAGTTTTAGGTTTAGAAATTAATTAAAAATTAAATTAAAAGATGTACACTCAACTGTTCTATGAAATGTGCAGGTGCTAGAGCTTCAAAATTGATACACAAGAAAAAGTCTGCACGCTGTCGCTGAAAATATAATTTGAAGTATGGACACTTTAGGCTTAATTCTTCTTACATTGTCATTGTAACACATTTGAATCTTCACACAATCCTAATAACTAATAATTATAATTGTAGTAATTGGATGTCTGAAATACGTGTTGAAGCAGAATGCTCCATGGCCAATAGGAGGTGGTTCAGGAATTACTAAGTGCCCCTTTTTTTTTCATGTGGCGACAGACAAAAACATAAAGTAGTTCAGTCTTTTATTTTGAGTGCTGTTTTTGTTTCCTGGCTGCTTCAATGAGATGAAACACCCACACAGTTTTTGAACTATAAAATTGTGTCCTCCATTTAGAAATTCTAGGCACTCTAAATATTTAATAAATGCTTCATAACAGACTCTAATGTAGTTGTAAAGAGATATAGTTATGTCTGTGAAGAGTCACCACTCCTTGTTGACTCCATGGTTGACACCTACTTGTGAATGCTGGTGTATAAACAGATAATGAATGGTGATATGGTAAAATAGAATAATAAAATATGTTCTTTTAGAATAACTGTTTACAAATACTGTACAGTGAAGACACTTATAACTTAATACTCACAACAATATATTTGTTAATGTTTATATTGTGGTGATGTTGTATTATGTTATGGATATTCACTGTTAGAGAGGAACAAATGTAAACCCTATATCCAGAGGCTTTAATGTATATAAAGCATGGGTCCTTTTGACTGGTGTATAATATCTGTAATCTATGGAAGCACATATTGTACACAGTCGCTCTCTACCTCTGTCAGATCACTGGGCTCATAGACGGGGAGGTGACCCAGAAAAATATGTCAAGCGACATGCAGAGAAGTGCCCTCCCCCTTCTCTTTCAGGCTGCACCAGCCACTATTATGCAAGACAAAATAAAAGTGTGCACTGACCTGTTTATTTTTCTTCCCAGAGGTAACATTTGTTCATTCTTGTTTCTGCAGGGAGCCAGGGATTCTCCAGCCAAACAGGGTTTACAGACTTCCCCAACACTCCCGGCACCCCCACACTAGGAGAGTATGCTTCTGCCTCCGGACCACCACCTCTACTCCCCTATCAGTCTGACCAGGTTAGATACATTTGAAATACAACCTCCTACCACCATCCTTTATTGCATAATGCATGTCGTAGGGAACGCACAGAAACAGATTCCTCTTCTTTTCTTGACGTGGCCTCTGGCCACAGTGAAGTGGATCATGCTCAGTGTCTTCTACTCATTTCACTCAGGACATTTTCCCTAATGGTTGAGTAGACTTCATGAATAGACGACCGCCAGAAGGCGCTGTACTATGAGCTTGCTTCTCAAACCCAGTGATACAAATGACTATTATGAAACTCAAACTGAGGCACATACTGTATCTCCTGACGGAGATGGAAAGGCAAGTCAATACCAAAGTATTTTTCTCATTGTCAGCAAATCTTAAGAAAAATATCAAAACCATCAATTCACTGATTCTACCAACAGGTATCATCTGTGTGATATATTAGATTTCTCCATTGTTCCAAGAAACTACTACAACACATCCATGATCTGTTCCTTCATCCCCATTAACACACACACACACACACACACACACACACACAGCTCCGTCCACTGAAAATAGTCCCCCAACAAGTGCAGCATATCCTCTTTGTTGGATAAAAACTCAAGGGAGCAGGGAATGTATTTTGAAATGTTACTACACATTTATTTTTGTTCTTTTTAAATTAGGTTAAATAAGGTCCAGACCTTAAAATATTATAGGGAAATCCAACAGTTGCCACAATAAGCAAACACAAGTACAAGAATACAAGTCAGGAAATACTAGACATTCGTACAGTGAAATTTTCTAAATGCATTTTATTTAGCAGTATTACAATGCATGGTTAGATGAGTGCAACTGCCCTTGTTCTAAGTAAGAAATATGCTACTTTAAATTATATCTGAATTTAAATTTGTTTTTATTTTTTCAGACAAAGGAGGTCAGGATGAAGACAAATAAAATGGGAGAATTCTAAATTATACCGAGAAATAAAAAACGTAAAGATTTTGCTGAAAAAGAAAACAACCGCCATCCGAAAATACCAGAGAAAGCCTCCAGAGACTGACACGTGTCTGACTCCCCTCAATCAAAAACACGGAAACAGATAGGAAAACATAAAGTCTCTCCGGAGGTTCACAGAACTCTTTTTTTTTTTCTTTTTTTTTTTTCACAACGTGCTGATAAAAAAATATCAGACAAAAGTACAAAGACACCAAAGAAGAGAGAGAGTCAGATGATATTAAGCGCTGTGTCAGGAAAGATCAAAAGAATCATTCCACAACCATCCTCAGTGACAGGACGTCATGTAGAAATACACAAAGAAATATGGGCAGAATTTGCCAGTGACTGATTGTGGACGTGTTTGCTCTCTAGCCTTTGACCAATAACCAGGATCCTGCTTAATGTGCTTGCCTATGGTCTGGGAAAGCTGGGATCAGTTCTTCGCTGCCTTGAATTTGCTATAATACAATATAATGCCCATTGGAAAGAAGTGTGTGCAATTAGATTTTCCAGATCAGTAAAGCATGACACGTGCAGTTATTATTCAAGTTCATGAATGATCTGTAATTCTGATGTATATGTTAGGATCGAATCGTTTTTCACATTTTAAAATGTGGTCTAAAAGTCGGGGAGGAAGTGTTTGATCTTTTAACTACTGGTGGTTTACTCTGTTACTCATATCAACTCTGTTACTGTCTGTGTCAACTCTGTTTAAGATTTAGCTCTTAAAGTGATCTTTAGGTTTGTAATGTTAACATTTGAACAGAGGCTGTGTCACAAGTAGTATTATTGCTACATTCCATTAATTCTTAAAGCTATTTTTGGAGAAAATACGCACCATTGCACAACATGTTTATATTTTTACTTCTAAACAAAAAGTCTCCATCTTATTAGATTTAAAGTTGAATTAATGGATGTGGAGACAAAAGTTATTTTTAAATTGTATTGCATTCTTTGACTATATATTTGACTCAATTTGTCTCTAACAGAGTTGACAGATCTTTCTTGCACATTGTTTTTCACAATGTTTTTTTTTTTTTAATCTTACAGGTTTAGGATCAGGAAATACTGAAAAAAGAAAATTTAAAATGGGTTCCATAAGAATAAAAAAAGTTTACTTGTAAAAATCATTGCTACTTCTTATTTTGTTTCTATACTTGAAATGTACCCGCAACTCTGGAATGGGCCATATATATATATAAACATATAGATATTCATTTTCTTTTTGCCCCTGTATTTAAGATTTGGGCATCCCTGTGTAAATCACAGATGGAATGAATTGGATGTTTGAAGTCACAAGAAGTAAACACAGCCCCAGCAGCAAACCTGTACATGAGGCAGAGGTCTACCTGTAATGATTTGGCGGAGAAGGCTCTGTAATGTGCTGCTGTGGAGCAGCACTGACTGTCTTTTCCTTCTGGTTTTGTGAGTTCAGATGAGAGCCTTTAATTGAACCTGAAGTAGACAAGTAGACAGCACTGACTGAGGAGAGATTCTCTCACTCACACAAAGTACTGAGCCACTAAACACATGCCACCTGTCGCACACAGCTGTGGGGCTGTCTGCTGAGGGTTTGAGTCCATCCTCCTCCGCTGTCACTCACTTCTGGTGTTCAGCCTCTCTTACGAAAAGGCAACATGGATTCATGCAAAGTGTTGTTTGCGGTGAATGCAAAGTAAAACAAAAGGGAATTCTTGTAGCGATGTGCCAAAATAAAGATTTATTTTTGTGTCTGTGTCTCTCTTCCTCTGTGTCTCGTCCTGCTCATCACTGTCAGGTGCCTCATCCTGGACGAATGGAACACTCCCAGCACCTCCTGCAGCAGCACAGCTCAAGTGTTCATGGTAACCAGGGTCTCTGTGACACCGGCAGCCCACTGCAGCAGCGGAACACCAATACCCAGAACCCCCGGCTGCAGAGCGAAGGCTCCTTCGGTCTGGGAGGCCCCGGAGCGCCTGGAGGAGAGGGAGCCGATCATGCGCTAGATGTGAGTGAAAAGCTGATGATCATGTGTTTAGTTTTATGAGAAAACAAAACATTTTCAGACCGCAGGCCGTGAATCTAACTTGATGTCCCTCTTTGTAAGTCCACGACAGTGCAATAGAAATTACATGCTTTAGCACAGTAACATACCACTGAGTAAAATGTAAGGATGAACAATTAAGCTATGAAGCGGAAGGAGCTGTTCAGACCTCCACTGGTTTCAATAGCAAATTTTCCATTTTCAAATCACCAAAAGTATAGTCCCAGTACAGACACGCTTTGAATTTCCTCTGATTTTCTTATATAAAGGTTGTAGTTGTGTCCTTATGAGGGGTCAGTTAAAGTTAAAGTAAAGAAAGTTAAAGATAACTTTGCGCCCTGACCTTCGGTATCTCAATTTAAGTGTGGCTAGATTAAAGCGTAAAAAACAATAACCTGAAATTTGCATCTGAAGTGTTTAATTAAATGAATGACTTATGTTTTGTTATGAAGCTTCTTCCTGAGCTGACCAATCCAGACGAGCTGCTGTCCTATCTGGGTCCCCCCGACCTCCCCAACAACAGCAGCGATGACCTGCTCTCTCTGTTCGAGAACAACTGATGACCTTCAGACTCACAGCGGTCACCTGCAAGTCCAGCCTCAGCTTCTCTGTGTGCTGTAGCCCGGGACGAACACTGCACCATCTCTGATGGCACCCATCACTCTGTGTGCATGTGTGTGCGTGCGTACATTCGTGTGTCATTTTGAAGTGTCCTGCTCTTTGCAGTCCATTCAGTACTGAAATGGGAAAGAACACTCTCCACACTGAACACTGTCCAAGTATGAAGAATGCAACAGAACAGTGGGTTCTGACTGTGCAGACCAGCATTTTAAACTAAAGCACAACTCACAGGCTGAGGGATCTTTATTTATAGATTATTATAGTCGATGGGGGGGATAGTGGAACGTGGGGCCTGTGTCGAATCTAGAACCGTTCCACACATTTCCACCCCACAAACTTGCTGATCCAAAAGTTGGGACCACTGAGGTCAGTGGCTACGGGAGAGGCTACTGCAGGAAAATATCCTCCATTTTGAGGTAAGATGAGCTACAGCAGCAGTGAGGTGCTTTCTGAAATCTTCAAATACAAAATTTGGCAACTCTCAGAAGTAAATTTGTGTGTTTATAAAAAAACAAGCAAAGCAGTTGCTATGTGTCTGCTGTGAGGAAATATGGTGTGGGAAATGATAGTCTGGTAATCTGCAAATTGTAAAAAGCCACGTCTCAACACCATAACGAAGGCTGATTTGTAACCTGGCTACTTTATCTCCTGGAAAATTGATGAATGACAAAAAGTTACAAACCAGATCTCCAACCAACGTTGAATGAGTTCTTCTCCAGCCCATTCACCATCCCTCCTCCAGGTTCGGTGCAAATCTGTTCTCTGCTTTGCCGACAACAAACCAAGAAACACATGGGTGAAAACAATAATAGTTTTTAACGCTCAGCCTACGTAGGCCAGGCCCAGACGTGTAATTGACTTCTTTAAGTTGGGACACAACTGAGGGTTCATTGTATCTCTGACATCCTTCAGCACTGTGAACTATATAAAAACTCCCACCTTTCCCTCTGTGGATTTCACCCTCTTTTGGGGATGATGTGTGTGAGTGTGGGTGTTTCAAGCTGTTTCATACTGTAAATGCTGTGTGTCATGGCCTTTTCTGCCATTTGAAAGCTATTTGTATGTTTATAAACTGTTTCACCTGTATAACCCATCACGATGCGGGTTTGTGTACTGTATAATCAGCTGTTTTCATTAGAGAACGTGTGTGTATCAAATGAATTGTTAATCATGGTAAGTTTAAATGTTATTAGTTGGAGAATGAATCATTGTTGGCACTGTACTCATGCTGTGTGTTAGAAATTGATAAACCAATTGTAAAAAAAAAAAAAAAAAAAAGAAAATTGTGGTCATACATACACGCATGATGCATGTATGACAGACGTCAGCTGACACGGAGTCATGCAGTTCAAGATGTAAAGTTTGAAATTGTTCTTAATGCCACTTTTTGAAGCTGACAATTTTTTTTCTATGAATTCCACACTGCCTCGACAAGGCGACAACAAATAATGTTGCTTGCTACCTTGAGCAACACAACAATGTTATTTGGAAATGGACTATTTAACTGCAAATTTATAGGGGTAAAGTTTTTTTTTTTTTTTTTTCTAAACTATTACACATATTTTGTAATTCACTGTAATTGCCATTATTTTCTATTTATATTTTAATCATCGTACCTACAGTTATGTTTTCCCTTCCCTGACCGTCAGAATCACAATTAAACATCACTTTATTTGACGAAGAGTTTGTTTTGGAGGCTATGGCTACTTTTTATTTGATGTCTTTTAAATAATAATTCCACTTCCTTGTACAAAAATAAGGCCTAATATCCTGGTTGATTATGGAGTAGAGTCCAGGTCTCACTGATAAATGCAGTTGGCAAGTCACAAGTCAGTCTCAGCTGTCACAGGAGACATTTGCCAAATGTTGGACATGTTTCCTTTGCAGGTGATATAGTAGGTCTGTAAACTCAAAGGTCCCCAGAGGAGGAAGAGAGGTTCAGACTTTGTGTCAGGATCATCGCTGGAGCTACAAGAAAAGGCGAGTCTGAATCAGTTGAGATAGCTGTGAGCAATTTATCATTTAATTCTTCACGTATACCTCAGCCAGAGGGGTTGAAAGCTCTTCATGAGTGAGATGTGAGGGACTAATTTAAGAAAGCATGGAGTCAAGGATTTGTCTTGAAACCCCTCTCACCCCTTCAGGGAAGAGTGGGACGGAACAAACAGCCATGTGCATCATTAAGGATCTGCAGATCTTTGCAGGCTCCTTGAAAATGTCTGTCTCAGATCACTTTCACAGCACTATGCAGCAAAAAAGCATCGTAGAGCATTGAGAAAACATGACATGTCCATTAACTATGAGCTCATGCATGTATGCTTAGACATGTAAAGAGAACTGATTTTACTGTTTCCTGTTCCTTCTCAGGTCCCACAAGTGGAAATTTTGTGGAAGCCAAACGCATCAAAATCTACATTCGTGAAGGGCGTTAGGTGCTGAGGCGATCAGACAGAAGAGCTGTCAGCTTCTGTTCCACTGCCCTTCCTTGACATTTGGTTCACTTATGTATTTTGTTGGAATTTTTTACTTTGCTCCCACAATCCAAGTACCATCTGTCTGAATAGCATGGCCATCCCCATGGTTTTTTCTTTACCTGTGCTATATGGGAGCTGGACCAAGATGTGGAGGGGCTACTTTAAAAGGAAGTTGTAGTATTATCTCTAAAAGCACATACGGCACACAGAACATTCAATATAGATACTTTATTGAATATCCAACAAACTATTAGTGACCCCAAGGAAATGACAAAAACATCTTTCAGCACCGGACAGCGCCCATGCAACCACAATTCAGAGACCAAGTGGTTTGTATCGTCCTTAAACACTTGTCTTTGAGTGAAAGGTGTCCTCCATTGCTGTTTAGAACTGGTTTCCCAATGCAGGGTTGTCTTTCCATACTGATGTCACCAGATTAAAACTACTAGCCAAACAACTGATGGTAGACATTTGGCCTATTTTCAAGATTTGCATGTTTAAACTTGCAGCCACCTCCTGGAACAGACCAGCGTTTCTTGCTTATAGAGGATATAGTGGTAACACGTCCTTAATGGAGTTATTAACGGTGAATTCATGCCAGTGATACAGTCTAGACTGAACTCTGGGGGAATCTTGTTTGACTTTAGTAACGCATCCGTAGACTCAGTTTGTGCAAAAACGAGTCCTGCATGTCTCAGGCTTCTCCTCAAACTTCTGTGCGTCGATGCCTTCTGAATACTCAACAATATCCAAAAACACATAATTCACTTCCCTTGTTCCTAACCTGGGCTGGGTTAAGAGAACAACCGCTAGCAGCTCTGGCAGGTGTAGCAGGTGAACTGTTGTCATTTGTTGTTGTCTAGTGTTTAGTGAAGAGAAGGTCAAGAGGTGACGTAATGTGAAAAATAAATGTGATCTGAGGACAGTGCCACCATGCATGGATGACCACAGCAGGAATATATATATATATATTGTGTTTTATTTCAGGAATCTGATTATAAACAAGTCTGTAACCTGTGACAACATGGACAATGTGTCAGAGCTCCCTCTGAACATCTAAAAATAGGCTTTCAGGGATCTCCCCTTAGCTCCCCTGTAGCTCTGCCATGGATTCACTCTATTAAAATGGGATGGAAGAAGTATTCAGATCTTTCACTCTGGTAAAAGTAGCACCTTAGTGATAAATGATACTTAAAGGTTCAGTGTGAAGAATTTTGTGATATCTAGTGTTGAAGTTGCATGTTGCAGCTGAACACCCCTCACCTCACCCTCTCCTTCCAAACATGAAAAAGAAACTGGAAACCTTCATTTGTCATAAAAAGTCCAAGTTAGTTTGTCCAGTCTGGTCTAATGTAAAAAAGATGACGGCCTCCGTAGAGAGGGTCCCCTCAATGTAAATATAAAGTATTTAAATATAAAGGGTTTTTTCTGGGGTAAAGAAAACTACAATTCATACAATTTACATGAAATGAACTAGTGAAAACATCATGAGGATTATTCTACTTTAAATTTCTGCCAATAGTTCCCTTTCACCTAAATCTTACACACTGGACCTTTAAGATACTTTCATTTCTCCTTTTTTTTATATGCTTTTGCAATGTTTAAGGTACACAATTACACAACTATTATTATTATTTATTTATTCTCATTCATATTCTCATTTCTCTCAATTATACATTTCTACCTTATGAATTCTAATTTATAATTTTGGAGGCTGATCATTTGCCTGTATGAATTTCATTTGGGAAAAATCAAGTATAAATATACAGAAAAAGGAAAGTGATATATTAGATGAACTGTAAGTATCATAAAGTAAAAGTTCAGATTCTGCAGAAAACTGACTTCTGTCAATAACATATCATCAGGGGATCATTAATGATGGATCCATGTGTAGTTGTGAGCATGTCTCCACTCACTGTGGTGCATTTAGACAGATACTTCAGACAATCACCTCCACCGAAGTGTCATTGTGCTGCGTTCGCAAATAGAAACCCATCTCCCTGTCGGACCAATCAACGCACACCTCCTGTCAGTGTTCATTCCTATTGGTCCACTTCTGCGCCGTTGAGCAGGGCGCGGGCTGTGATTGGCTGTCGGCAGCATTGACATCAGCGTGTTGTCAGAGCCTCATAAACAGATCCAGTGCGTCCGACGGCTTGAGTCAGTCATCTGCGGCTTTTTCACTAAAACCAGCACAGAGGCGCGTTTGTAAATATGGGAAACCCCAGAGTTTTCTTTGACATCACCGTGGATGGCTCTAACATCGGCAGGATCACAATGGAGGTGAGAGAAATCCCACATTAACTCTTCACAGTCAGTCTCGGCTGTGCGCAATTCAGGGTTTAAATTCGGCTTGAGCGTCTGCTCGATTTGGACCGAAGGAGAGACAGATGTTCTCTTATGGGCAGATGGGTTCATGTATTTTAACAGGCCTCAATCTTTTGTTCTCAGGTTATGTCAGTCTGCAGAAACACAGACAAGATCAAGTGAATCAGGCACATATCCAACAAAACAGTCCTGCTCCAACGGGAACGCCCATCATCATCTTCTTCACCACCACCATCATCATCCTCACCACCATCATCATCACCACCATCATCATCATCGTCATCATCATGACATTTGTTTAGGTCAGACTAGGACTCAAGCGATGCAGCCTGTCTTCTATATGAGCACAGTTAGATATGAAGTAATTAGTAGTTTCATCAATGAATCAATGGATAGAAACTCAATCTGCAACTATTATGATCATTTTAAAAACATATTTTAAATAAAAATGCCAAATGATCTGTTATCAGCTATTTAAAATGTGATGATATCCTGCTGCATATATATATATATATAATTATTTAATATCTAACTGTGCTCATATGGCAGAATATGTATATATATATATATACGCACACCAAAAACACACATATATTCATTAATCAATATATGTGTACTGATTCCCAGAGGGGGAATTTAACTAATTATGAAGTCTATCAAATTTAAATAAGAATAGAAATAAAAATAGAAACTATGCTAGAGCACTTACACTATAAGCAATAAACAAACATCATCTATACAACTAGTTGAAGAAAAGCTGGGTATATATATTACATATTAATGTAATATGCTGTAACAGAATACTTACAGATTGGTGTATAAAATACTGAAGCATTTGCATGTAATAGAAATGTAATGTAGTTAAGGCAGCTGATTTGTGTGCCTCACGTATGACGCTGGGCTTAGTGTTGTCAGCTGTGATAAAAATGCCTCTTGGCCCATGTTGTTGTTGCTGCTGTCACATTTGAGGCTTATTGTCTTCTTCATCCTTTGCAAAAGTTTTCAGAGTATCTCACTGTTCCTCTTGTCTGTGTGTACTATGTGTCAAGCACTCATGTAAAAAAATCCCTGTGTCTTGCAGCTCCGGGCTGATGTGGTCCCAAAGACGGCAGGTGGGTGAGACAGAGAAAATCCGAGTTACTGCACACAGCATCAGGCTCAGACGTCTTCTCGACAACACACATTTGGATTTGACTGAAAAAACAATGCCTCCCAGTTTAGCTGAGCATTTATTCTTCATTTGGAGTTTAAGGCAAACGATGGCTGACACAGTGATAGAAAGAATCTGAATATAGTCAAATGTGAGGGTAAAACATTGACACAAGCAGACATGCAACTGAGTGGTACCACTGCTGTGAGTGATAATAACATTAAGAAGGAAGTGAAAGATGTCTGCAAGTGGTTAAACTGCAAGAAAACCTGCACAATGCTTTATTGAGTCCCTGTGATTCTGCCCCACATAGGCTAATGTTAGTCAGATGGCCTCATTTATTCTCAGTGGTTGCTAAAGAAGAAGATTGCCTCCATGGAAATGAGGTTAGGGTTTTGATTCTTTATTTAGTTTATCTGAGATTTCTGTAATTTACTCTTAACAGTTTTTTTAATGAGTGATTTTAACTTGACCTTTGTGTGGAGCGTTTTCCGGTTTTGATGTAACTGTATGCACACAGTAGCTTGTAGAGCTGTGCAAGTGTGAAGTCTTGTGAACATTCTCATTAAGCTCATTAACACAGCTTTTAAAACAGTTTTGGTTCTTTCACATTTGTGTATTTTGTCTTTTTGCCTGTGCTTTTCTCACACTTATTTGTGTGCTGTTTGTTATTGCTAACACTCAAGCATATTTTTTTTAAGAATTTCAACATTAATCATTACTCATTCAATCTTGAATATTTGATTTTATGGTCTCATTTTTAATACAATTTCCAACTCCCTGTGATCATTTTCTGTTTTTCCCACAATTTATTTTAGTTTGAAAGATCATTAATTTGTTAATAGTAACACTTTTGACTTACAAAATCCAAACTCTGATTAACTGCAATGAAATGTTTCTGCTTCCTGTCTCAGCTGCAAGGAGAAAAGGAAATAGGAGACAACACCAGTAGCAGCACTCTGCTGAGCAGGCAAAATACAATGAGAAAGATCAGCTGTTCACCTTCGGAAATATGTGAAGTTTATTCAAGAGAAAATAAATAATTCAAGAGAACTACCCTGGGTGGTTTGAGTTTGCTCTGAAGCTCTGTATAATGCTGTTATGCATTCATTTTGTGTAGATATAAGTTTACCCAAGAATTGACAGAATCTTTTCTTCCAGAAAATTTCCGTGCTTTGTGCACTGGAGAGAAAGGTTTTGGCTACAAGGGCTCCACGTTTCACCGTATCATCCCTAAATTCATGTGCCAGGTACAGTTAAGGGATCAATGCTGTTTTTTCATTTTTCACAAATCACACATTTATGACCGCTGCTGTCAACTTTGTTTTACAGGGAGGAGACTTCACCAACCACAATGGAACTGGAGGCAAATCCATCTATGGAGAGAAGTTTGCTGATGAGAACTTTCAGTTGAAACACGCAGGCATAGGGACACTGTCGATGGCTAATGCTGGACCCAACACCAATGGGTCCCAGTTCTTCATCTGCACAGCTTCAACTGACTGGTGAGCTCCACTGTGACACGTGCACACCTGCATTGAGATGAAAACAAGAAGTTTGGCTGGTTTTGCATACTAATCGTCTCCTCTCGTCCTCAGGCTGAACGGGAAGCATGTGGTGTTTGGCAACGTTGTGGAGGGAATGGATGTTGTCAAGGCAATGGAGAAGCATGGCACAAAGAGCGGTACTCCGAAAGCCAAGGTTGTCATTGCCGACTGTGGTGAATTAAATTAGTCCAACTCACTCAGTTCCTTCATGTCAGTCTGCTCTCCTGTCAGATTTATCCTTATCATCCACATCCCAGTTACTCTTTGAGATGGTGCATATCTACAGTATCAGTAGAAGAAGAAACAGTCTAAAAATGTTTGTCCAATATTCATATTTTGTACATTTCAGTCTGTCCTTAAAGCTCCAGTGTGTAAGATTAAGGTTAAAGGGAACTATTGGCAGTAATTTAATGTAGAACAATTCTCATGATGTTTTCACTAGTTCATTTCATCTAAATTGTATGAATTGTAGTTTTCTTTACACCAGAAAAGGCCCTTTATATTTAAATACTTTATATTTACATCGAGGGGGTCCTCTCTAGTGAGGACGCCATGTTTTTTTACATTAGTCCAGACTGGACAAACTAAACACCTTTTCAGTTTTTATGACAATTAAAGGCTACCACAGTTTCTTTTTCATGTTTGGAAGGAGAGGGTGAGGTGAGGGGTGTTCAGCTGCAATATGCAAGCTTCAACACTAGATATCACAAAATTCTACACACTGAACCTTAAAGGACCACATTTGTTAACAAGAGCTCACTTAGATTGACGATGATAATGGATGATGATGAAGATGATGGTATAAATAAAGTAATTTCACTTTGTGTGTCCTCTCATTCAGTTTCAAACATCTGTTAGAAAACTCCAGCTGTGTGTATTTGTGTATTTTCTCTTTATGTATGTATTAAGCTGTAAGGGACGTTTTTGCCACAACAAGAGAATTGGATTAAAGCCTAAGAATATTTATCAAGTGCTGTAATAACATGGTGTAACTTTTTGATTGTTGTAAAACACTAGAGGTGAGTATAGGCATTAACTTAATAGGTAGAAGTGTGTGAGTGTATGTTCATATCTTCATATGTTCATATCTTCATATGTTCATATGCTCAAATGTTCATATGTTCATGTGCTCCAGACCCTGATCTCCTTTGGGCTTCATCCTCTTTGACCTCATGACCTTTCCTTCCAGGTTAAGGAATAGTGTTGAGGACAGAAGATTATTTTTCAGCTTTTCCACTGCAGCCTTTTCTCTCTGGCCACAGCTCCGCCCTTGCGAGCTGTCCTGAAACAGGTTCGACCAATCAACCCACACCTCAACTCACATGTTCATTACAATTGGTCCAATTTTGAGCCTTTGAGGAGGACGGGGGCTGCGATTGGCTGTTGTCACCTCTTATGTCAGCTGCTTAGAGCCAGTGAGTCTGACAAGTTGACAGGATTCACTTCTAGTTTAACTTTTACATTATAAGCAACACAGAGGCAGGTTTGTGAAAATGGGAGATTCCAGAGTTTTCTTTGACATCACCATTGGTGGCGCTCCTGCTGGCAGGATTGTAATGCAGGTAAGATTAATCAATCACTGACTATTCATATTTAATTTTGACTATGCACAATTTAAAGTTGGATTATATACAAACAGGCTGTAGGTGTGACTGACATGTTCTCAGGTGCAGCTTTAACATTAAAAGCAGGTTTATACACAGATACCAGCAAATGTTTCCTTTTTATTGGGGCCTGAGGACAGAATGGTATGATTACCCATAAGGACCTAGTTGGTCCCTTAATGCTTTTTGTCTTTCTTCTCATTTTCAGTCCTGAACATACTTGAAAAGTCACAAAAAGTGTCTTGTGAAAATGCTCTGATTGAATAAGTCTCATGCATGGGTGTGGCGTCATGGTTTGATTACTCTGATAATTTTAAAGACAAAGCAACTTTTCAGTTTTTCTTCAATGCAGTTCCGTGGCATGGAATTTCAGTACTGATGAAACAGGAAGTAGCTTATAACTAGCGTGTGCTTTGTCAAGTCTGTGCCAAACTACACATGTCTCAGAAGACATCTACATGACAATATTCAGTCTCAGTCACGGTACCACCTAGTGGCTACGTTAAATGACGGATGTTAATCTTTAACATCGCTTTCCTAGCAGGTTGATCACATTCACTTCACACAATGAAAAACCGATATATGAATAGAAACTACAGCTCTTCATCAATAAGATAAGCAATAAACATACAGCATCTAATGAAAGTCAGCTAAGTATATGACATATAAAAGTAAAGTACATCAACAGAATACTTACAAATGGTGCATAGTATAATGAGCATTTATCTGTAATACTGATATCGGTCAGGCAGCTGTTATTCATGTATGAAGCTGGGCTTAGTGTGGTCAACTGGAATAAAAAATCCTCTTTGCCCATGTTGTTGTTGCCTTTGTCACATTTGAGGCTTCAGGTATTCTGGGCCTGTCCTTTACAAAGCTTTAGTTTACAGAGTATCTCACTGTTCCTCTTGACTGTGTGTATTATGTGTCAAACTATTAACTCGTGTAAAAAATCCCTGTGTCTTGCAGCTGCAGGCAGATGTGGTCCCAAAGACGTCAGGTGGGTGAGACAGAGAAAAACTTTCAGTTACTGCACACAGCATCAGGCTCAGGCTTGTTGTACACACCCAAATACTTGTTTGGCTGACGCATCGATTAAAAAAACCTGAATATCCGGTCCTAGAGTCAAATGTGAGGGTAAAACGTTGACACAAGTAGACATGCAACTGAGTCCTTCTGGTGTTATTATGACTTTATACATTTAGTAGTTTGTGTTTTCTGCAAAGCTTTTCGATCTGCTTCTATATCTTTCCAGAGCCTTTTTAGGATTTAAAGATCACTAACATTGACACTAACACTTTTGAAAAAACAACCAAACTCAGATTTACTGTGTTGTATCTGACAACAAAATGTGTCTGCTTCCTGTTTTTACCAAATGTCCTACAAAGAGAACAAGGAAATATGAAAAATCTCCAGTTACAATGTTTTTATTTTGTGCTTGTTTTAGTTGGTATAAGTTTTCTTGAGGATTGACAGAATCTTTACTTACAGAAAATTTCCGTGCTTTGTGCACTGGAGAGAAAGGTTTTGGCTACAAGGGCTCCACGTTTCACCGTATCATCCCTGGATTCATGTGCCAGGTACAGTTTAGATTTAAGCTCAAGTTGAACCTTAATCATGACGGCTGCTACCACATGTATTAATAATAATAATAATAATACATTTTATTTATAGGTGCCTTTCAGAGCACTCAAGGTCACCTTGCAAGGCAGAGATACAAACACATCAATAAACAATGTTTCAAAAACAGGAATAAAATGAACAGTGAATAAAACATTTAGTTCGATCAAATGGAAGACAGTCAAACTGAATATGCCAGAGACACCACATGTGCTGATTCAACTTTGTCTTACAGGGAGGAGACTTTACCAAACACAATGGAACTGGAGGCAAATCCATCTATGGAGAGAAGTTTCCTGATGAGAACTTTCAGTTGAAACATAAAGGCTCAGGGATACTGTCGATGGCTAATGCTGGACCCAACACCAACGGGTCCCAGTTCTTCCTCTGCACTGCTAAAACTTCATGGTGAGCTCCACTGTTACTTGTGTACACCTGCATTGAGATGAAAACCAATAATTTGTTGGTCTCATATATTCATCCTCTCCTCCTCAGGCTGGACGGGAAGCATGTGGTGTTTGGCAACGTTGTGGAGGGAATGGATGTTGTCAGGGCAATGGAGAAGCAAGGTTCACGCGATGGTGCGACTAATGCCAAGGTTGTCATTGCCGACTGTGGTGAATTAAATTAGTCCAACTCACTCAGTTCCTTCATGTCAGTCTGCTCTCCTGTCAGATTTATCCTTATCATCCACATCCCAGTTACTCTTTGAGATGGTGCATATCTATAGTATCAGTAGAATATGTCCTACCTTCCAGTTTTTCTGTAAGGACCACATTTGTTAACAATCTCTGACTTAAATTCATGACGTTGATGATGTAAATAAAGCAACATCAAAGTTGTTTGTGATCTAATTTAGTTTCTAAGCATTTGTGAGGGAGAAATCCAGTTATGCATTTATGTATATATCTATGTGTAGGTACACTTTTGCTGAAACAAATATTAAAATAAAGGTCAATGAAAAATGTACAGCCTAGGAATACCTGAAATGAGGGAAAAACAAAATTCTCAACAACTGGCAATTTCAAAGAGATGTGCTCTACTAGGCGATTGACACACAATATAGTTAAAGATAGTTATAGTTATACAAAATGAAGTACAACAAATCAGTTAGAAGTTATTTTTTTTTATTTTTGACTTGGTTCTGAATTTATCAAAACAAAGTTTCAATTCTCAGTGGGGTTCACAGTAAAAACATAGAAACACAGGTCTAAAAACCAACTTGAAGTACACATGTTAAGGCATCAACATCTCCTTTGCCACTTTCTCCTTCAAAGAGAATGATAATAAATAAATTCATAAGAATTCAAGTTTCCCTATAGAAAGGTCGCCGTGAGTAGAAATAATATTAATATAAACAGGAATTGAGACCAACGGACAGCCAATCACATCACAGTAAAAACCACAAATACAAAACATACACATCTAATACAGCAAAGGTAAAGATGGTAATGGCTGAAGAGGCCCCGATCAAAAAGTGATTCCTCGGTGTTGTAACAGTTAAAACGTGCCGATTGAGAATATCAAGGATCTCATGAAAAGACCTGTGATCTAACATCTGAGGTGTTGGGGTCTGATGTGACCTTTGGGTCAACTTGGTCCCCAAGTAGCCAGCTATAATGCAAATTGGTATTCATTTAACACACAATGCTAATAACTTGTCCTTGTCATTTTTTTTCTTTAAAACAAGTCATTTGGACATTTCAGAAAGTCAATGGAGACAGTTTTCCACCAACTCACCAAGGTAGAATTAATTAGCTTGTTCGCTACAGCTTATTAAATAGGCTAGTACAATTTCATTCAACAAAACAATGGAAATTACAGCTGCTTTGGTTTTGGTGTGTAAACTCAGGAATCCATTCTTTTTATTATTATTACTTCAGCATGTGTAGACTCTTCTTCACAGCAGACATTGGAACTTGTTATGAGTCCCCCTAATTTGTAATGATTTATTTATTCTTTTTAATTTATTTATTTCTGCTTGACTAGATTTCTGAATTTTGGACAGAACCAGGCTATTTACCCATGCTCCAGTCTTTATGCTAAGCTAGGCTAATCCCCTCTCTTTTTCTAGTAACAAAGACTAAGGAGTGGAGTTGCTAACTCTCTGCAGGAAATCACAATTATCCCAAATGTAGAAGTATATCTTCAAATCCACATTTGTACAGTCTGTATAAATCTGCACTGTAATTTCGGTTCACCCCTTCTCCCAGATGGTGATGTCGAAACAGCACGGAGAAACACCACAAGTCACAACAATATGTATCAAACGTTACACTTGAGGTATCATTAATAACACGCACATATTTGAAAAGCTGGTTTAAATTTCAGCATTGGTTAGTCTATTGTTTTTCACTAGCATGAGAACACAATTACCCTTAATTACCACCAAGACATAAAAGCAGACTTTGTAATTCAGCACTGAGCACTGTGCACTCTCCTGTTATCCAGGCAGTTGGTAGCTTTTACAATGGCACATTTGTGGTATTGTCTCCCACTGCACAGTCCCACAGTTTATTCTAAATACTTCAGGTGCTTGCATATTAAACCATCACTTAAGAGTATGACTCTGGGCTGCTGACACTTACTGTAAAGTTGAAGTGATGCACAAATGTGATTTTGGGTCTAGAGCCCCATTTGGACTGGATTTATTTTAAGGGAGTTGGGGGGATTTTAAACCAATTTGGAGTGCATGTATCTATAGATGTGACAATTATCACTGAGAAATCTTATAATTCAAATACACATTCTCAAGTGTCTTTTTCTGTCTTCCAGGCTGATTTATGGGCTTTTCCTCTGAATATACATAATGATAGCCTCGGGAAGTGAAAGTCACAGTAGATGGGTCTGTGTTCAGATTTGAGTAAGTTATGCAGTGAAGTCTGCACAGTGAATACTTCTTTTTCATCTCCCCTTAGTTGTTAATCCTGTCCAAATGGGTGTAAGTCTGTCGTCAACTGGCGGAATTTCAGATCATCTCATACAAGATATCCATTAAAAAACACTGGATTGAAACAATTAACTGAACCAACAACATATTATATTGTATGTTGCTATGCTCAACCTCACCACAGATAATAGGTGTGTACAGATTGTGACAACACTGTAATACAATAATCAATAGGCTACATAACAGTGCTGGTTTCAGACCTGGGCTACAACTAGATTGTGAGTTGTTCAGGGCTACTTAATGACACTTGCTGAATGTAAAGAAGGAAGTCGAAAGAAGAAACTATCATCGCCGAGTGAGAATCTTCTTTCTGACTGCTGATATCAAAGGTTTTACCTCCGCATTGATTACAAAAGACAGTGGAGCCCATATTTGGCCAGGGCCAGGTGTGGTTATTTTAGGGCCCCACATAAAAACAAGTTGGGGGCCTCTAATTCCCAACCCTGAGCCACTTCAGTCCTCAAAGTGCTATACAGAAGATCCAGAGTCGCTGATAAAAACACTCAGACTGAAATAATTAATTGATTGATTGATTTGTTAATTGATAGAAAGGAGATAACAACTAATTTAAATGTGGTAGGCTGGTGACCAGGGTGAACCCTGTATCTCACCTAATGTCAGTGGGGATTGGTTCCAGCCCCTGCGCCCCTCAAAGGATACTCATGGATGGAAGATCCAGATGTAAATTATCATAGTTTGGGCTCTGGGATGTTGTTGTTTGGCTTTTTTTTTTACTTTTTTAAACTTTTTGACAATCAATTAATCAATTAATCATAAAAACGGTCAGCAGATTCATTGAAAAACAAAGTCATCAATAGTTACATCGTTAAATGAGATTAACTCGATTTTACTGGTGGCACCAGGAGGCAGTGGCAGTACTGTCTGTAAATCTCCTTTTATCAAAACAAGCGGCAATGATCTGCCACTGAGATAATTGAATATATTTCCAACTGATCTGATCATGTCAACACTGCAGTCCCCCTCTTGATACTGGAGCAGTGATACTGAGACAGAGGGACAGAAGAATTGTAGAAATGTCTTGATACAAGAACAAATGTAACAGAGATTATGATTATGTTACAGTGGTACAATACAATCAGACTTCCTGTCTTGATAGGTTTCAGTGGAATGGTCTGAAGTTTGATTGGAAAAAAGGTTCTCAAACCTTTTGTTTTATGACCCCTCATGGACAAACGCTTGCCAACTTGACTGGGGCTGCTCATCCCTGGGCTGATGTGTCTTTGAGCTGTAAGCACACACTCTTAGGAGGGTATCTGTGTTCTGTTTCAATCTATTGATCATTTTGGGGCGTCTCTTACTTTGATTAGTTCGCACGGACAGGAATGACATAAAACAAATGTCCCCTTGCTGGATTCACATTGCTTTGTATGTTACAGCCCTGTAAAGATCCTTTTTTAATAGCTTTTAGGCTTTTAGAGAGATCATGAAGATTTCAAATCAGTTTATAAAAGATCAACACATTTTCTCATGCAGCACTTGAGTCTCGGCCTGGTCACACCAGAATGCAGTACAGCTGAATTCATGAAGCACTAGTTCTAGAGGCTTGATTGTGTAGTAGGAAACATGCTAGTCAGTCAAAATAGTTCCCTGAGCGTCTTCCTAGTTTGTCTTTAATTTGCCGTTGACTCACACCTGGTATTATGAACTGTGCGTGAAAGAAGTAACTGAAGAGGGAAAAGCTCTCAGAGCCAGCAAAGCTAACACAGGTCAACACTCAAGAGACTCATTAACGCCGATCTCATAACTGTTAAACAATCTGTTGTGAGGCAGTTAAACTCTTAAGATGCTTTCAGACATGCACCGAACTCCGCAGATCCTCCGTATTTTCTCTGGAGGAGTCGCTTGTGTGAACGCAAATGTCCGAGCGAGCGGCTCCGGATTACCTGCAGACTTTCTCCGGCTGGCCCCTTAGTATAAAGTCTGTAGAAATTCAGGAGAATTCGATGTGAGAACACGGCAGGAGATCCCCCACTGGGGTGACGCTTCAAGCACACAGAAAAACCAAACAAAAAGAAAGCAAATATCTCCGGATTAAAAGGTGACGACACACACAGAGACACTGACAAAGCTACAATATCTTCCTCCATTTTGGACACTCGGGTTCTACCTTCCATTATCTGAATGGCTTTCTTGTGACCAAAGCATTTTAAAAATCGGATTTATTTTCGCTGTGAAATTCTGCTGTTTTACACGCTGGTGTGACCATGCATTGAGGCCAGGGCTGCTTTGTCATGGGTTCTAACGATTATGTCCTGAAAAACACATTTCTGATCAATAACACTGACTAGACTTGATTTTAATGAATCATTCAGGTAAGGGTGCTGTTTGGCAATTAAATGTAAGTGGTATCTCCAGATCATAAACAACATGGACTTGACTGAACACTTACTATCAAGCGCTTGTGGTGTTTGATTATAACTGGAATAATAATGAATGAGCATTGACGCTACTCATATCAGACAGATCCTCAGATCACCTGCTGCCTGTCAGAGCCACAGTGTCAGAAACCCACAGGTTGCTCCTGACTCGGTCCCATTATCTCCCTCAGTGTAACCGGGGCGTGCCGCTACCTCAGATACCATGTTTTTCTGAAGGTGTTTTCAGCTCTGCGGCGACGTCTTGCGGCTCTCTCTCAGGATGCCGTCCAGGCCGTTGAGCTGGCGCAGGAAGCCCCGGTTGGGGATGACGCCTCGGTGGTCTTTCACTGTTTTGATGGCCTCCACCAGAGTCAGGTTTTGTCTGATCATCAGGTAGGCCAGCACCAGAGTGGCTGAGCGGCTCACCCCCACAGTGCAGTGGACCAGCACCTTACCTACACACAGAGAACAATAGGAACGATAGGAACATGCATGTTATCACATTTATCATGCCTCCTCCCTCTACTCTAAATGTTTTTTCATGACATAAATCAAATACATCTAATCACTTTGCAGCTAGTTAATTTTGCATGGTTTCTTTGGTGTACGGCAAGTTACTGAATTTTTGCGTTAAGTTACAGTTACAAGTTACTGCTTTTGCATGAAGTAATTAGTTACTCAGTAAAGTGACTTTTAAGTTAAGTTCATTTGAATGGTTTTCCTCCTTTCTCTTAATAATGCGGCTGGAGCGGACAACAGGTGATAAAAGACAAAAACAACTGGCGATCATCACATAATGAGGTGTTTTGTATAGGCCTATTTACCGTAGCTTCAACAGGCCTCAGCTCTAAATCAGCAACACAGACAGTGTGAAATCAAATAACTGGAGAACGTGTGTCCTGGTAGTGGACAGGCGGCTTCGAAACATGCAGGAGGATAAAATGTAACTCAGCACTCGCAGTATTCGCTTTGGCTCCGTTTTCACACCAGATTAAATATTTTCTTAATGCGATGAGGTTTTTAAAAAGTCTTCGATTATAATCACAAAATGCAAAACACTAAATCACATGTTCAATTGCTAGAGTGCAGTCACCTCATTACCACAACTTTGAAGGCTTATTACTGAGAATACAGAGCATTGTATTAATGCAAAATGTGCTTGCAAGCATTTTTCTTTATGGTATCTTTCTCAGGTGGAAGGCAGCATGGGCAAAAACAAAACTTCTTATTGCAATGTGTCCACTAACCACAGCTATAGTTACATTTTTGGGTATTTTTTAAATTTAAATGTTGAGTTTAAATGTTATATTTATTTCAATTTAAAAACCCACAAAAAAACTTTTGCATACAAATGAATATCACAATTCACTGTGGCTAACTGTGTTTTTGATGATAACAAATGCAAGTTATGTAATATCTGGGGGTTGGTATCTTGAAGTTTTACATACTGATCCAAAGCTATTGTAAAAAAGTTTTGAATAAAATAAAAAGACACGAAAAGTAAGTTTTTCTACACTTTTGGCCACAGCCATCAACATAATTGCACTCTGTTTACTAAAGTGTTAAACCTAACTTTAACTGTCCACATTCACAAACTCACCTCCACTTGTCAGGGCTTTGTGGATGAACTCTGCGGCAGGATAGAAGTTGACACTCATGTCGAAGGTGGGGGAGTCGTGGGCCTCGATGCCGTGATAGGTGATGTTCATGCCGGCGTAATACTCGGCTCCGCCGCGCCACTTACTCTGTGCACAGTTGAGGATGTGTGTGATGCCCAGCTTGGCCAGTTCACGTCGATCTGATGCGATATCTCTGCAGACAAGTAGTTTTTTTCACAGCTCATCATCAAAGTGATTTTCACTTCTCATTGATGGGGTCAAGTTGAAGGTAGTTAGCTGTCACAATATCATTTAAAACAAATAATGCTATGAATTATGTGGTTTGTCTGTTATGGCAAATTAACTATACTCAAAATGGGACAAAAAACTAAAACCTAATATGTTGAGTGTGAACGATACAGCAGGAAAAGAATTAAAATAATTTGAATTCTTTTAGAGGCACTCCATTGTTTCCATGCTATTAGTATGTGAGTTATTAGCATTGTTTAAATATTACTTTTGGTGTCAGGACTATATGGTGACAGCCATGCACATTATTTGCATGTGACTGCCAGTTTAATACAAACAACTTCATGTAAATAATAAATGAAATAAATGAAGTATGGGGAAAGTCCTCAGTCCCTTTATGCAGTTTAGTAACATGGATATACAGCATAGACACGTGTAAAATGGTTAATACACGTACATACAGGATTACATTTAGACTATATATCACATAGACAGATTCTAAAAATAAAAGATTAAGTTTTTTATTCTGACAGCAGCTTTAACATCCTGAGTCCACTTGTGCAGCCTTGTGCCTTATTGACTTAAGATGCATGCTGCTGCAGAAATGCTTCATTCAACATGGGTGCCCCATTTAACCTCAAACTATATCCCACTTGCTCAGGGCTCATAATATGATTCTCAGGACTCCTCTCCTCACATGGAGCCTCTACACATTAAAAACCACTGTTGTTATTACATCTCTTAGGATAGCATAGAATATAGTGTTTCTATTCAGCCAAATGGCAAAACACTCCTGCTGACAGCACTCCATTAATGTGTGCATTAAAGGGATTGTTCATCCAGAAATGGAAATGAAGTCATTATCTCCTCACCACTATGCCGATGGAGGGGTGGGGGAAGTGTTTGAGTCCACAAAACACTTTAGGAGTCTCAGGGGTAAACAGCGTTGCAGCCAAATCCCATACAACTGAAGTAAATGGTGACTGATTCTTCAAATGCAAAAAAAACAACAACAGAAAAAAACATAAAATGCTTCCATTCTACTGCTGTGGTGTCATCCAAGTGTCCGTAAGCCCTGATGTTCAAGTTTGAATGTTTTTCCAGTCATATTTGGACGTCTGGGCTTATGGACATGATGACACCACAGATGTTTTTCGTCTGTTGTTTTTATACATTTGAAGACGTGGTCACCATTTACTTCAATTCTATCGAATATGGCTGCAACACTGTTTACCTCTGACACTCCAGAAGTGTTTCGTGCACTTCACCCACCCCTCCATTGGCACGGTGGTGAGTAGGGAGGCAGTAGCTCAGTCCATAGCGACTTGGCTTGGGAACCGGAGGGTGGCCAGTTCAAGTCCAGCATGGACGGAAGTTGGAGAGGTGCCAGTTCACCTCCTGGGCACTGTCGAGGTGCCCTTGAGCAAGGCACAGAACCCCCCAATTGCTCCCCGCGTGCCTTCATGACTGCCCACTGTTCCGTGGGTGGTCACTGTGGAGATTGTGTTCCGTGTGTGCTCAGATTTCTCCATATTTGCATGCTGCGTTTGGGACCATAAAGAGGAATCTTAATCTTAGATGATGGGGGAATTTTTGGGTGAACTATCCCTTTAAGTTTCCATCAACACAGTGGCACAGAGCGTTATTATAAATGGCGGGAGGGTTACGTAAACTCACTGGTCTCCTATGTAGAGTCGTGGCCACACTTCGTCCGCGTGGTTACAGGCCGTCTTGCCCGTGTACAGCAGCCGCTCCAGCTCAGACACGCTCAGATTCGGGGGGACGCGCTCCGAGTCTTTTCGGCTCGGAGACCTGGAGCTGCTCCGGGACCGAGAGAACCGGGACATGAACGCCATCTGATGAGAGAGAGGCAATAACATCAGCTCATCGCAGGGAGATCCATTAAACAGACAAGTGGAGCCACTGATCGAAACAATAATAGAGATAATAATAATAAGAGGTTAGGCTAGAATTAAAGAGATGGGGATAAAAACTGAAATGTGTGGGGATTACTGCATTCGAGCGTGAGGTTATGTAACAAGCACTTACCTGTGGATTCTTAATGCCTGCTGAACACAGTGGGACGCGTCTGTGGTGAGCGCAGCCGCGATCACACGAGGTGAAACCCACAGGCTGTCCCCTCCACGTGTTTCCTTCACCTGCGTGTTTCTGCGTTCCGCGTCTACAGACGGGGCTGCTCCGCGGCCATGTTGACTCATGTATCTGCCGTGGGAGGATGGATGTGATGGTGGGTCCGCTGGCTGAGCATCCACCTCACGGATCCACCTCCTCCCGCAGCTCCTCCATCCTCTCAACAGGTCTCAGCAGGAGGAGGCGTCGGGTTGCGGAAGCGTCGCTCCCGGGCTCCAGCCTCGCGTTCTCCCTGATTCTTCGTGCAGCACCGGGAGCTTCGCAGGTCAGAGACGAATTTGTTTTATTTCGTTGTTAATGAACGCGATTGTGACGTCGGTGAGTTAGTAACTGCCGCGGGTTTGTCGCCATCTGTCGGTCAAACGACGATGTCGGCGCTAACAAGTGGTGCGTTCAAAGTTCATTGTTTAACTGTTTGTCCCCAAGGGGAAGGGCCATCATGGAAACATCGAACCCCAAATGAAAAGTTTTAGTTCTTTGGTCAGTGTGTGTACCTTCGACCCCCTCTTCCTCTCCCTTCATCTCTGTCAGACATCTTTTTCATAATGCATTAAACAGTGATACACCTCTACTGTATGTTAGATACTGTCTTTTCTCATGAATGTTGTAAATATTGTTAATTTGTTGATTTTCTCTGTTGCAATGCAACAACCAATGCTTGTCTGTCCGTCCTGGCAGCAGATCCCTCACATGAGGCTCTTTTGGGTGTTTTTTCTCTGCAATAGGTTTTGTTTTGTAAGTTCTTCCTCACCCTAGTCAAGGATTGAGGACACCTTGTACAGATTGTTTAGGAAAAAGTAATTTGTGAATGTGGTCTATACACATACAAATGTATCGATTGATTGATCTGTTGTGCCCTTTATACGACAAACCATTTCAGGATCTGAAGCGTTTACACTGCTCCCTTTTTAACTGTTACTGGTGCGGACCACAGCTTAGCCTCTGACACAATATCTGAAAATATGTATTTGGCATCCGTGATGTGATTCTTAATTTTGGTCCATCTAGGCCTTTCTCTGTCATGCTTGGACTCGTAGATACCTCCGGTCATGTGCTACTCTCCTCTTTGGGGTCCCACAGGGAGAGGGAACTGGCACCTCTCTGTCTCCTTTTATTTATCATATATGCATAGGAGGAAATGCAGGTGTGTGTCCTAATAAAGCCTGATACCACCAATGTGTCATGTAGTCGCTCTTGCCTTGATTAAAATATGTACTGGGTGTCTCATAATTCCCTGTAGTTGACGCCAGCATGTTCCAGAGTGGAATTTCTTTTTTTTTTCCAAAAGCTGTTATAAATCAAAATACATTTCCATAACATCTTATTCCAAGTTTTAAACAGTGCAGATAGAAAATAAAACACAGTTAGTCAATAAAAACCACAAGAGGATATACAATGAATATAAAAACCTTTTTTTTTCAAAAATAAAGCTGCAATATTTAAATGTGCTCCTAATTTAGGTTTTATTTGAATAAAAACGTCTTCTTCTTTTTTCTTTG